CTGGCGGGGATCTCTTGCAGGTCATACATGTGTAGGCTGCTGTTGGTGAAACTGTTGCTGGCTCCTGAGTCAGCTACCCATCTCTCGCCACCAGGCGGCCTCTCACTAGATTCCACACTCAGCAAAGACGAAGCAGACTCAGCAGTCTCTACTCCAATCGTCTCTCCTATCCTACTAAAACAATCGTCAGGGTGAGACTTGCCTAGGGGTACCGATTGTGCCGTGCAGAGGTGGAGGTAGCCCGAAGATGGAGGCGCGCCAGGAGAAGGAGTAGAGGACGAGGAGGAAGCGGTGCTGCTGCTGCTCCCGAGGGGGGGCTGACGTTGCTGCTCGGATGACGAATCTTCGCCGGCAGGAAGGTAGTACACGTAGTGGATGCCGCCGTCAGATGAACGGCTGTCTTCGTACTCTGAGGAGTAGCTGTAGCTGTCCCCACCGCCGGCGTAGTGGGCGTACCCAGCGTCGTGGTAGCCGTCTTCGTAGTAGTAGCCGTCGTCGTAGTCGCCGTAGTCTTCATAGTAGCCTCCATCATCGTGGGCGTAGTACACAACGTACGCCTACTCTCTTCCGTCGCCAGAACGCGGGCGCCCCGGGCCTCTCCCTGCCCGTTCTCTCTCGGCACGCCCATCGCTGCTGTGGCGTCCTGCGGGCCCACGACCCCCCGGGTGACGCCCAGACGACCACCAGGCCCACGTCCACGAAGAGGTCTCGGGGGGGGTGAAGCTTGGCTCCAGCCGCCGCCACCATGACCGGTGTGGCGCTGCTGCTCTTCTAGCCTCACCCATCGGCCGCCACCGCGGCCTGGTCCCGGCGGCGGTCTACCCCCTCGCTGGCTACCGCCGCTACCGCGGCTGCCGCCGCCCGAGTGGCGTTCCGGGGCGCCCTCTCTCGAACGCGCGCGCCGCAGTTGCTGCTGGAGACGACACTGCTCGTTGGTGTGAAGCTCGGACTGGTGGTAGCGGCAAAATCCGCCGGGGTCGTCGTTGAACACGTCACTATTTTTCTTCTCTCCGTCACGATTTTGGCCACCAGCTGCTGCCTGACCGCCGCCTTGACCCCCGGATGCTCCCCCACTTCCCCCGCCGCGCCGGCCCATGCCGGACGCGACGAGAGCGAGCTCCACTTCGCGCCTCTCCCCCTTGCTCCTCTCGCGCTCCATCTCCACGTGGGCGTCCCTCACCACAGTCTCAAGGGTACGCAACGTCAGGACATCATGGGCAAGCAGTATTCCTTTTTGCACGGCATACAACGAAGAGAGAAGGCCACGAGCAATGTCTTTGTTGGCATCTGTTTCATCCTTAATCGTACCTACAGATGCGAGACGCAGGCGAAGGGCCTCTGAGCGGGCAATGTAATCCTGTGGACTCTCGGACTCTCTCATCTCCAACTCCTTCCAGTCCTGCTCCAACCTCGACTTTTCTGACTGCTTTTTCTCCTGGCTGAATTCTGTCACGAGTTTCCAGCCCTTTTGGGGACTCTCACACGCCAGAATTAAGCTCTGAATCGGGGGATACAAAACCTTGCTAATCAGGATTTTCCACAGTTTGAATGACTTGTCTACCACTCCATTCCCAAAAAGTCTCCGAAGGCCTCCTGTATCCACACCCCTCTTTCCGACCTTGACCTCGACCTCCAGTTCCAACGCATCATGCACACCCTCCTCCTGAAAACATGAAATTATCTTACTGCGAAAATCATCAAACATAACATACAAATCCTGCTCATTCTTCAAGCTACCAAGCCAAGGTTCTATTTCTGAGCCAGGATTGACACGTAACGTGCCTGAGCGGGCAAACCCCTGTTGTTCAGCGATGACCTCAGCTGTCGCCTTGGCCGCTCGCGCCACGATGTGTGCGACGCTGCTGGGGTCGTTGAAGGTAGCTGTTTTACCCTGGCTGGAGGGTGATGGGTGGCTGCCGGTAGGTGGGACTGGGTTGCCGGCTGATGGTGGTTGGGCGTAGGTGACTTCACCCTCGTTGATCCTGTTGGCTTCGAGTTCGGCTTGTACTCGTTGCTGGACGATCTCCTCCACTTTTTGCTGTAGCCCTTCCCCGCTAAGGGCGGAGAGGTCGATGCCCTCCATGGTTTATGTTGTTGTGGGAGTCTACCGATTGCGCGTGACTGCACAACCCCCGGATGGCTACGCCCGCGCGCAGATACCGTGATATCGTCGCTCTAGTGTGAAAGGTAAACTACGCGGGGTGCAGCAAGCACGTTCTGGACGTTTCTTTGGGGCACTGGGTAGTCGGCCGTGTTAGGCCGAGAGAGAGAGAGGTTGAGAGAGAGTTAGAGAGAGAGTGGGAGAAGGAAACTTGATTGGAGAGAGACGGTGGTGGTGGTGGAGAGAGAGGGAAGAAGTGCGCAGCACGCACGCAAGCCTCATCATCGCACCGACCACGCCCAAAGGGTCCCGGTGACTGCGCCGGTGGTACCCTTCAACACGTGGAATTCCCAACACGTATCCCCCTGGGATCCTCACGACGAGATACTGCTGCGAGTATATCTAACAGCAGTCTTTCACTTATTGATGCGCCTCGACTCCACCCTCCCTGCCGTCCTCGCCATTGTGCGATTCGTGGCTTTCTGCAAGGGACTAGAGCGTCCCATGACTTCTTTTCCTATGGACTCCATTTGTCTCCACATTTTTGTTGTTGTTTCCGTCTGGTGAAAAGGACCGCCCTTTCACCATTTCACCGGAAAGAAAGCCAGCCTCAATCTCCTCTCGACAACAATCGTATAAATCGAGCTAATTCTATGACCTATCATGCGGGTAGCGGCCAAACAAGGGCAACCCAATGAACTATATTTCCAACAAGGGCAACCCAATGAACTATATTTTCCGACCCTAGACGAGACGATCATAGTATCCCAACAAATTGTCCGACTAAATAGGAGACGACCAGCTGTAGCAAGGCGAACTATGACAGTCATTTCCCCTCCTTCCCCACGTCCGAGTCGCGTATAGTATGGTGCGCGTTGTTCGCAACACAAAAGCCACTAACGCACATGGACGGGCACGTGTTTTGCAGGAAACAGCAGCAGCCATGATCTAGGCAAATAAGCTCGTTCATCACCGTCCATAGCTATCTTTCATGCGTCGACGGTACCCCAAGGGGAAACATGCTGACGCACAACCGACTGCACAACCGACACCTCACCGGCGGATCATCTACAAAAGAGGCGTTCCCGGTTTTCCCCCGCGTTTGTACTTGGAAGTCTTTGTTGGTGATGTCGTTAACACTTGCCTCGACTCCACATCTCCAGCGCACTCAACTCGCATTGGAGAATTCATGCTCCGTCCCTACTGGGCTCAAGAGTCCCATGTAACCCAAACCAAGCTGTCGGCAACACATCTATCTTATTGTTTCGTTCGGCTGAGACTCTGCAGGCCTCCATCATTCAACCATTCTTCGCAAACAAGCCAGCCAGAAATGACCGAAAAACATCAGCGTGCTACAACGAATGCTAAACCCATCAGGAAGTGGTTGTGGCCGCAGGAAGTCCGACACAAAATCCCTGACTCCTCGTATGCGCACTTGATTGCTAGACTCCTCGCCCCGAACTTCACGAACTCGTTTTCCACATTCTGGTGAAAGTTCTCCCGGTGAACTAAATAGCATCTCTTGTCTTGTATCATCACTCGCTCATGTGCTAAGCAAAATCTAAAGGTGGCTCACAACAATTCTGTCCAGGCACCCATCAATCTCGATGCGCGTTTCCAGCGGCACTACAATACGCAACCGACGAGTTACCCCGCGCATGGTGGCTTGAATCCTGTTGCCCGGCGTGACTTCTCCTGATGAGTGTTGTAGAGTGTAGTGGCGGGGTCTACGGAAGGGTGTAGACGATGAGATGTGTCGGTAGGGCGGCCTCTTCCTTGTACACAACCAGCTCCTCGAAGGCCAGTCCTTTTCCAACCTGGCGACGAATGTTGTTGTGTTGTTGCATGGTGCGAAGGACGGTGTGAGTGCAGTGCACAATGCACAGTCAGAGGGAACCTACATCTAGGCGTACCGTCATCATAGCATATTTAGGATGTCCCATTGCATGCCTCCTTTCGACCATTCGGTCGTGGTTACAGAATTTTATTCGCCCTACACGTTTTGCGTTCCAAGCGACGGCGTTCGTCTTGCTTTGGAACGCGAACGCTGAAGGTTTCCTGTCAGGAACAATGGATGCATCTAGCACATGCTGTAAAGCGTGCGGAGGTTCTCCTTCAGCCAACCTTGCGAGGAACAGCATAATGCAACCCTGCTACTTCAAGTATCAAATACATTTTACGAAACGCGTGATCATAGAAGAATAATGGGAAGGGTCGTTGACATTGAAACTTCTGAGAGCGAGCTCACTCGCAACTTGAGGTGCATCGGATCACTGTCAATGGTGCGAACGAACTATCTCATGCGATAGATATGCGAAAAATCCAGCGGTTGTACTATTTATTTAGCCCCCCCCTTGCAGTATTTTGGGACATCGAAGGGCAAGGATGATACTGGTCGTCGGCGAACAGCAACATAGCATCGAGCGCCCCCGGGCTTCGATTCGTCTCTAGCGAGGGCAGTCCAACTTTTGTCACGGTACACGTATTCTAATACGTGGCCTACCTAGTGAGGCTATCCTCTCCCTTCACGGATTGCGTTGCCATTTGATTTGTTTTCTCTTGTCTAGACTATCTGGATTTGGTCTGACAACCGGGAGCATTTCTTTGGCGATTGATGAAGCCAACACTGCGCCTTCGTACTTTTCGTCCTCTACACCTATTTAGGGGTAACTGGTGACCGCGCGGCACGGTTCCTTTTCCTTGTTGGTTACGAAACAGGACGTGTCTGACGAACCGGGGTCCGATCAGCTTCTTTTTTCAGGAGGCAACAACAAACAACAGCCAACAACAGCCAACGACGACAATATGGCCAGCACACCGGTTCTCCTCACCTCAGCCTGGACGGAGTCATGGCCTACTGGTGGGTAGGTGCCACCGTCAAACCCAGTCTCCTTGGTGATTAACGATCTCCCCTTTGCCACATCGGCCACAATAATACATCGCAACCTTTTCCCGCTTCCCTCTGCCTGCAAAGCACAGGCGGCCATGCGACGGAACAAGACACGAAAGTATACATCGATGGCGAGCAGGACAAGGACTTCGGGGTTAGAGCATCGGGTCCAGGTAGGCGGTGTTCGACATGGCTACTTGGACTCTCCCAGCTGTACTCAAGACATTCTTCATGTGTTGGCAAAGCTTGTTGCCGACGGTGTCTTGGAGATGCCCCACAACAAAAACGGTTGAGGCCGCCCTTCCTCCTTGCATACATCTTTTTTTTTTCGCACCTTTTTCTCTGTCCCCTGCGCGTAGTCATTGGCCTTGGCAGACTTGGTACTGAAGTACACTCCCCGTCCAAACCGTCGGGAGGCCTTGCCGAGCTTGAAGCCTCGCACGCAAATGTTGCACAACTTGCAGGCCTGCAGTCCGCACGGGGAAGCTTTCTGGATGCGACGGCGAGGCAACAGTGGAAGAGGGGGTAGTTCTCGTGAGTTGCGACCAGTGCATGCACGGCCGTACAAGCGGAAAAACAAAGCCCACACGCACGACGCCAGAAATCTTGTAGAAGTTGTTTGATGAACACTGCTGTCACAAGGCTGCAGTAGGGGATGGGCACCATGTGGTTTGTTTCCACATGCTCATGCCACTCCTTCTGTACCAGACGTTCTCGACAAAACTCCGCAAATGTGATAAGTAACAAGGTATCGCCGACACCGCCAACAAGACCACCCCCCCCACCCCCACCTTTGGGTCGACGGTAAAGTTACACGTGCTTCTGCAAGAGGTTCCATGGAAGCGCCGGACGACATTCCCGTGACACCGCACGTAGCTGGCGTGCGTTTTGCCAACGTCTGCAGGAACCTGGGGGAGGGGCCAGGCCGCGAGAATTCAAGCTTGGTCGGCACCCCAGCGTTGGTCGAATGAACAGACAGCCTTTGGGGGCATCGGTCTGTTACAAAAAGCGCGGCCCTACTTGGACCGGCCCGCGAAGGTCATCACTGACTGTATGTCTTGACACCCCGTCACTTGCTATCACAGGCAGAACAAGGAGGTATTCAACCTCGAATCGCGTGCCGATCCGGCGACACCTAGCAACCAACAACGGTGAGGAGGACACGCCGGCCAAGTGCTGTGTCGTCCAGACAGCCCTACTTTCGATGCACTAATGACCCTTGTGACGATGACATCCGAGGCGTGTGTGCGTCTGGCTGCAACCTGCTATTCAAGGTTCTGCAGGCCGGCTTGAAGACGGAGTCAAGGGTGCAGAGCCAACACCATGCTACAGCAGAAACTCCTCAAACGGCACGCACTCGAGCTTTTCAATGACATTTACCACGTGCTTTCACCTATTGGTACTAATAGAGAGGGGCGCACCGTGATCCTGAAGATTCGCTCTATTGCTAGCCCAGTCATGGTTCTCCAGCCGGATAAGAAGTCGGCGCGTAGCCGTGGACAATCTGGATGGCTGTCACCTAGAGCACTAAGCGTGGCATTTGCACCCTGGGTGCTCCCTACCATTAAGACATTGTCAATGTGCGGTTCCCCGTTCCGCTGCAGAACCTGGCATTTCAAACGATCGACACCGCAGAAACCACAGAGGTTAGCTCAGACCACCTTGAAGGGTGTCGATCCACAAGAAAGACAGGTTAGCTCAGACCACCTTTTTGTCCTCGCTCTTTGTATTTCATTTCCTTACTGTTTCCTTTTATTTTGTTCTCTTGTTCTCTTGTTCTCTTTTTTTCTCTTTTTCTGTGTTCAGTGTACCTTTTTAGGGTAAGTTAGCCTGCGACCACGAGAATCGACCGGGTCGAGTGTTGTATCAGTACACACATACGAAGGTATTGGGTAGAGAGAGATCGAAACGGCTATTAATGTGAAGACAACAGCAACAACAACAACAGCAACAACAACCCCAGCACAGTTGTTCCGTTTGGAAACATGCACACACGCGTACGAAACCCTGTGGACTAGTGCTTGCTGCACTTTATATGCGAGATGCACGGGTCACGCTATGAAAGCGAGACCGATCCAGCATGGTTGACATGCATCGCATGTGTCAATGTGTGGCGCTGTGCTGGCGGCGAGCTCGCGCCCGCCGAGAGGGTGGAGGGGAGAGGCAGGACCATCACACAAGTTTAGCCTACCCCATGCTGCCCCCTCACGGGGTCCCAGTTCATGGTAGATAGAAGTGTTTTGTGTTTTCAACCGCACTAAGACTGACGGCTTTTCAGGTCAGCCGGTTAGCGCGGTCGATGCTAATAACAAAACACACACACGCACACACACGCTCACAGCGGCCTCGTCACGACCCTCACGGGCGGGCAGGCTAAGAACACAAAGGTGGCACTTTCTATCACACAGCCTACATCGGGCAGACAGTGCCTTCGACCCTTCGACGGCGGTGGTATCTCCTTCTCTCACGGAATCACAAATCTTTGTTTGGACAACGGGTGGGTACAACCTGGATTTCCTGCTACTACTGCACAGTACAGTACTACTGCGGCGGCTGCGGATTGGATTCGTGGACGTGTTCACCTGAAGAAAAGCCAAGAGAATCTGCGAGCAGGACTTGGCTCCCTAGTGACTTCCTTGTGGCTACGTTCGGACGAGGGATGTGTGGAGCTATGGCAGTGCATGTGTTGCTATTTCGTTTGTGTCATCTAGCTGCTGACACGATGATTGTTGGATCTTGGGAGTGTACGATTATCAAACTGGGAGATGCAGCATACCACGATATCCTGGCTTCGGCTGGGCTTAAATTAACCCTTTTGCTGTCCTCCGCTCTTTGCATCAGTGGCTTCCTCGGTTCGGACGAGGGCATGTGTGGAGCTATGGCCGTGTATGTGTTGCTATTTTGTTTGAGTAATCTAGCTGCTGACACGATGACTGTTGGATCTTGGGAGTGTACGATTATCAAATTGGGAGATGCAGCATACCACGATATCCTGGCTTCGGCTGGGCTTGAAATAACCCTTTGCTGTCCTCCGCTCTTTGCATCAGTGGCTTCCTAGGTTCGGACGAGGGCATGTGTGGAGCTATGGCCGTGTATGTGTTGCTATTTTGTTTGAGTAATCTAGCTGCTGACACGATGACTGTTGGATCTTGGGAGTGTACGATTATCAAATTGGGAGATGCAGCATACCACGATATCCTGGCTTCGGCTGGGCTTAAATTAACCCTGTCGCTGTCCTCCGCTCTTTGCATCAGTGGCTTCCTCGGTTCGGGCGAGGGCATGTATGCGAGCTATGGCAGTGTATGTGTTGCTAATTTGTTTGAGTCACCTAGCTGCTGACACTTGGGAGTGCACGATTATCACGTTGCTCGATGCAGCATACCACGATATCCTGGATTCGGCTGGGCTTGAATTAACCCTTTTGCTGTCCTCCGCTGTTTGCGTCAGTGGCTTCCTAGATTCGAGTGAGGGCATTTGTGTCGCTGAGATGTGTGTCTACGTGAAAGAATATATATAGAGAGTCGCATTGGCATTTGCATCTAGCGCATTGCGCATTTTTCGAATTTTGGCCCCCTTCCAGGGACCTTGATTTTTACCCGCCGGCACTGACGCCCTTTATTTAATTGGTCAGCCGGTTAGCGCGGTCGATTCCAAAAATAATAACACAGACACGCCCTTGACATCAATCACGCACACACGAGTCTTATCCTTACTCTAGCAGCAGGACACTGCTCTGTCGTCCAACTCGATCACCCTCCCTGTCGGTAGAGAGAAGAAAGAGTGCTCGCGTTGTACTTCATCGGCTCATCCCGCTCAAGCATGACGTCTTCACATACTAGTCTACATTGAGTGATTGGCCGACTTGGTTGGCTGGAAAGCGTGACCGCTGCCGCTACAGCAGAAGTTCAAGCACCAAACACATCGCGATTGAGACACAAAAGACAACGCACGCACGCACACACGGCACATCGCAATTGAGACACAACAGCCAACACACGCACCCACACATGCAAGTCTACGCATGACAACCATGCTGGATCGTTCTCGCTTTCACAAAGTGACCCGTGCGTCTCGCATCAAGACTCCGTTGCCATGGTTGTTGTTGGGCGGGAAGATTCGCCGTGTGGTGTCTCATGGTTGGAGGGGAAAAGGAGTTGGGAAGATTCCCGCGGGGGAACTGATTGATGAAAGGGTCTCTTTGCTCGTCAGGTCAGGGTACATTTCCGAAAACATGGTACAGCAGTCATCGAGAAAAGTAGTCACTGCAGGGTATATACCTTGCGCCTTTTCGGACGCACCGGGGTGAAATTGGGCGCTGAACAATGATATGAGTGCATTTACTGCTGTGAATGACTCTGTACCCAAGTGTGTCGCTTTTCGACCAGGGTATATATACCCTGTGTGTCTTTTTCCCTAAAAGTTTCACCTGCAGCTGAGCCAAGAGAACTCGAATTTCGTTCGCTTGTTGCCCGGTTGACTGCTCGAGCATGGCCACCTGCTTCCGCAAATCCTTTTCCACCAGCCGTGCCAACCCGCTCCTGACCTTCTCCTCTTTCGATTGAAATTGCCCTTCGCCGTGTTGGCCCCTTGCTATCTTCAACGTCTCCACTTGGTCTCGCAGCTCGGTCTCCAACGACTGAGCCTCGATATTTGTCTCCCGAAGGAAATGCATGGTTTTCTCCTGTCTCGCCGACTTCGCCCTCTCCGCTAGTAAGGCCACCTCCAAGGCAGCCTTTTCGTCCTCAACGGCCTTTAACCGGGCCGCGGCCATCTCCTCGCTTCTCCGGAGGACATCGCGCAACCGCAGCAAGGAGGCACGCAGTTCCTGTATCTCCTCTTTATCGCCAGCGCGGACCAACTCTTGCTTTCTCAGCAGGCTCTCGTTGGCATTCTCCCCACCCCGGCGCTGCTCTTCGGCAACGAACCCCTTGGCTCCGTAGGAGTATCGTGATGGATCAACCTTTATCTGCTCCTCCTCCTCGTGGTTGACATCGGGTTGATTCTCCCCGATCCGCGAGGTTTTGCCGTCAAGCTCGCTCACGAACCAAACGATGCTGCTGTTGTTGTGGTTTCCACCTGGTTGTACCGGCGTCCTCGGTAGCGGAGACTCCAACTCCGAGCATTTGGAGCTGCGCCTTCGCCAGCGGATCGCCTTGTGCCAAAGCTTCATTTGTCTGGACCGGGGCTTGCTGTGTAGATAGATGCTCGCCCCTCATGCCAGCATCACCTGCAGGCGACAACATTCAAAGAAGAATCTTCCGACAGTCCAGTGCCAAGGAACGTTCCCAGCAAGGGGTGGAGTTTGGGGTGGAATTTTCGAATTTTCTGGAAATTTCTTGGGTTGGAGGTTTCCTCTAACAGGTATGCCAAGCGTGCTGGTCCTGTTTGACAAGTTGGAATATGGTCCGTCCGGGACAATTTGTCCATAATTCCGACCTGCACTAGTTCAGTTTTGGGCACGCGTACGGTGCTGCAGGGATTACATATAGGTGTAGTAGTTACCTCTTCGGGCTCTTGTTCTTGCTACGTGTGCGTGTTCTTTAGATCCTCAGATGGCTCTAGCACTTTCGTGACCACGGGCTGAGAGTCTTTGCTAGATTTTGGCATTTAGCAACTGGCATACGGTTTAATGTGAAGTCAACAACAACAACAACAACTCACGTCAGCTTTACTCGGGGGTAGGGGGGTTGTTCAGAAAAATGAAAGTAACGGGAAACGCCCTGTCTCCAGGTGCGTGTCCCTGTTGTTGTTGTTGTTGTTGACTTCACATTAAACGTGTCCCTGTGGAAACCGTTTTTTCGTTGTTGTTTGTCATTTATTCGCAAATTTCCGGAAATCTCGGATTCCTGTTTCCTTGGGTGTCTTTATATCAGAACACAGTTGTCGAGAGACCCGTCAGAAATGGCGTGGCTAACCCGGGTGCATTGGTTTTGTGCCTGATCGTGGAAGACCCCTTCAATGTGGAACGATTCTTAGCTATTGTCGATATTTTCACTGCGTGCCTAACACAGACGATCGGGAGAGATTCGGGTGATTGTCCATTGCAATCATGGCTTTGGTTGGTTGTTCTTTTTCACTGTACGTCCGCAGACACATTCTGACAGCACTTCAGACAGCAGCTTTGTGCCCCGCCAGCTTNAGATGGCTCTAGCACTTTCGTGACCACGGGCTGAGAGTCTTTTGCTAGATTTTGGCATTTAGCAACTGAGATACGGTTTAACGTGAAGACAACAACAACAACAACAGTTGTGAGGCTGGATTTCGACAGCTCTTGGAATTCCCCAGACCTAATTTTTTTCCGATTTTGATTCGAGTAAACTACAAAGAAGTTTTCGACGAAAAACTGGATTTTGGAGACCAGTTGGATTTCTTTTTCTCTCCGATGTGCCACCACGGAGCATGAAAACGACCACGGCAATCGATTTTCTCTCGTCATTCTTCAGACCAAATACTTTCCCGATTTTCAAATAAAAATCTGGTTCGCGAGATATTCCATATTTTTTTTGCTGTGGTGGAGGCAATTGTTCCCTGCCACACACCACATTGCCCTTGTGCGAGGGCACCACCCTTGCCCCCACGCCCAACGATGGCAATCAGCACCCGCAGCAGTTATGGCCAAAAAGGGACGTGGCAGACCACGAAAGCGCGCCAGAAGCAAAGGTCAATTTCAGCGCCGTGAACCTGCTGCTGTGGCTACCCACAACGATGCACCCGAGCCATTGGGCGGCATCACTTTTTCTCCCTTGGAACAGGATGAAGAACCACCCGATCACCACGACGAGGACTGGGGAGACCCTAGAATGTCAAAAAAAAAAAAAATGCCAACATGCAATTGATCTGAGCTTGATATGTAATGTGTAATTTTTACAAATACGAAACTAAGTGGTGCTTGATATGCATAGCATACCGTTAAGGATACGTATGTACAGCAGTACCAATTGGTACAGAGCTAGCTAGGGGTATTCGGGAGATGATAATGGCATGAACGTCCATGCTAAATTTTTTAGATGGAGGGGACAAAACTACCCCACCCCTTGTGCCAAAACGCCATATTTTGTGCCATAAAACCACCAAACAATTGGCCAGTTTTGGCGGCACCACAACAGTAACAGCCACAATCACGTGCTGAGGCCGACAGACGCGGAAAGGGAGGGCCAGCTCTATAGGGAAGACTGTCTCTACTACCAAAGCCGAAGAGGACGCGCCAATCGGCCGTCTGAGAACAAGAAAATCATGCTGTATCTCCTGTATCTTTGATCTCTTGTTGGTCTCCACCCACACATGACATGTCCTGCCTTACAGCACAGCACAGCACAGCTTTGCCTTCCTCTCCGAAGACTAGCATGTGTGTTGTGGTGGTGGTGGAGTATGGTAGCCAAGGGCATGATGACGTGGAACTGCTGGGAGTAATGCCGGAGAGGGAGCGCCATAACAGATGTCAAAACAAAGGAAAAATGATGTATGTTCAGCGCGGTTTCAACTACACACTGTACACTCGGCATGAATGCATATCTCACCACCTTGTAGCTATCTGCTGTTCGGTATCTGTCTTTCCACGCATTTTCCTGTACGTAGTCTGATCGCGACATTTCCCGCCTTCTTAGTCTCCACTCAGACAGAGTGCGAAGGAGGAATCCTCGAATCAAGAACACTCGAAGCAACAACGAGATAATTCGAAACAAGCAAGCGGCGAAGCGCTGCGTGAAGTATCCTTACATCGCTGATGTACATCAACGAAACAAAATCAGGAACCATGCTACCCCGCCCCCCTCGTGCATCGTTAAAAGAAACCTCACGAGTAGTTGTGTTTGTCATCGCGATGGGACGCACTAAAATGTATCCGAATTTAGATTGTACCTTTGCCGGTGCCTGGCTTCTGTCCTGCCAAATATTGTGCTCTACCCACGCTGGAGCACACAGGAAACAGCGAACAAGAAAAGTTACACGGAGAAAACAAAACCAGCAACTTGAAACCGGGTTGTATGGTGTAGTTCCCCAAGCCAAATACACCAAATATTCGCCACCACAAAGAAAGCTACAAGCTTTAATCATCAAAAAACAAAAGGGGTCTGTTGCACGACAAAAACCTACGCGATACAACGGACAACATAATACTTGCAACACTACAGCAGTACAACCAAGCTGTATTCACGCGCCGAAAATGCCCTCGGCACTCCTGATTCCAAAAACAAACGTGCTGCCTGCAACTGAAGCCATCGAGACCATATACACATGACCCATATTGATCTGCCGAGGACTTTCTGTCTTGACCCTCTTGCCCCCTCTACCCGGCTCAAATCCCTCACCGCATTCTGCTTTTGACTTATTTTAGGGTGATGTGGCGAGTCTTGAAGTCCCGCCCGAGGCTTGGCACCATCAACACTTCTGCGTCTGTCAGCAAATGCTTTCTCTTCCATTTCCATTCAACATAATATGTTCGCCTCATGTGGGCGAGAGTCCCTGGACGTGTTTTCGGTGTACATGCGCACACACCTCCATCAGGTTGGCATACATCCTCCCCGTTTGAACAGTCAGTACAGGGTCAGGCTCAGATTCATTATCAACCGGGTCCCCGAAATCGTCTCATCACTGACAGTCAGCGGTGAAGCCCCCCACTTTACGACTCACTGCCGTCCCCATCAAATAAACCTAGCTCTACTTCACCTATTAGTCCACGTTTCTGCACTATTTGGACGCCACCGTGGGTGGATGGTTGCTCCCTTGAATTCGGAAGCGCGACCCAACTTCGTGACAAGCGCTACGAGGATCTGCCTACACTGCGACACCCATCTTATGACCTGCAAACACGTACACCGCTGAAATCCGCCCAGGTCTATGACTACGAGGTGGTCGACCTTTCGTCGTTTGTACACTGTACGCTGCATCTCTTTCGACGTGGGCAGCCAGACAAAAACAATATTGCAAAACACGTGGTACCAAAGAGGGTTTCATCATGGTATTTTGTCCCGTCGAAGACCTCAGCGGATACCTGACAGCATACGTACGTCTGCGTTTCCATCGTTGTTGGTTGGTTCTTCAGCCAGTTCTTCGAGGAACCGAAATGACTCTCTTCCCTCAGCCAGGACGGCGGTTGCTCCAATTTTGGCCACGATTTCCTGATCGGCAGCGGGAAACAGCACGACACAAATCGAACGAACCCGGTAATGGACTCCCCGTAACCAGTAACACTGGTCTGTGTTTCCGAAGCTATTATCAACTACTTCTACTTGATATGAGAACACCACGGGCCGAGAGAGAGAGATGCCATTACGGCACTTACACGTCGAGCGTAGGTGCTGACTCCAGCCTTATCGTACTCGTTCACGACGGGTTCGCCGGCTTCTTCACGTTGCCGTCGATGTGAGCCAATCGGAGGGAGCTCGCCTTCGTGCCTTGCCTGCACGGAGAGAAAAATAGGGCATTGAAGTGATGCTGATGATGCTGGCGAAACAATATGCTACAGAACCTACACCCCCCCCACCCCTGTCCATATGCATACGATGTATCAGTATGTACAGAATGTGTAATGCAACAAGCACTGTCGCCCTCCGGGACACCCACATTCTCGACGCCAGCACGAGATCTTCTACTCCTGCTTAAGCGATGAACAAAGTTCAACATGAGACGCTCACACACGTGACCGCTGTTGTTTTGCTCTTGAAACCACGGCGATGAAGCTCGCTTTCGGTTTTGCTCAGAATCGAGTCCCACCCTGCATCTCCATCGTCTTCCTCAAGGAGCGAGAAGCCATTCTCGAGATTGGTCGGATTGTGGTTTGCCATTTCATCGCCTTCTTCTGCCGTGGAAAACGGGAACATGTCATGTTTGTACACGGCCCGCAGGCACAAGAAAACGCGCGGGAGAATGAGCCATTGCGAGACATGATGACCGCGGTGAACTCCTTCAGCTTACAACCGACCGTGGTGATGCGATCTCCAGGGTTGTCTGTTGACATCCGTGCCTACCCGTCCACCCACTCTTGTATTGTGCCTGACGTCGTTGTGACAACACTACGCAATGTCAAACCGCTACATCACGATGGGTAGTTACCGTCGCGGCCGCCGTGTTCCTACTTTAAAGCACGACTACGTTATCAGCTGCGCCCAACGATGTCCTATAGTGCCTGCACCAACCTTCGCTGTCGCACGAGTCGGGCAATGACTCTTCTCCACCTACCGCGCTTCATGTGGAGTGAAACGTCCTGCGAGCCCAAAAGCTCACTCTCACCTTCCACCCTAGCAAGGCCGACTAACGTCAGCCACGCTTGGCCATTCCTTGTCGCATTGCAATAAGAGCGAAATTACCTCCGTCGCTGAACGGTAATTCACCACTTCAGGGATCTTTACTCACAACGGAGTAAGGGTATTCTTGGGTATTCTCACATACACCTGAAGGAACACAAGCGTTTGGTAGCATCGCTCTTGATATGAAGTGACCACATCCTGCCTCCGTCTACCGCACAACTGGCGTTCGAGCACCTAGAGTGAAAATGAAGGGACACAAGCGTTCGACACTACCGTTCTTCATGTGAAGTGACACGTCCTACCCCTGTCTACCGCACAACTGGCGTTCTGTTTGTGGTGTCGGCGCGTGTGCTATGTCATCACGCTCGCGGGCTTTTGTCGAGAGCGTTTGTGCACAAAGGATTGACTCAAGTTCCTTGATTATTAACGAGTGACAAGCATGAGCAGCAGGCAAGAAGGACCTGCTGCTGCACACACGTCTGCATATACCCAAACCTATCATATCTGCGTACCCCCTCGGATATCTCGGAGATCTGTATCCTGCCGAGTACATACACAAACAGCCCCCCTACTCGGTACGAGATACGATCTACGAACCTTCCGCACATATCGCCAGGTAAAACGGCAACAAAATCAAAACCATTCATCTTTCGTATCCACAAATCATCTCAACTTCCCGATCTATTGAATAATCAAATTTCAAGTTTCTATTCCTCCTTAATCCACTACTATGTATGTTGGAACTTCATTAGAGTCTTAACAATCATCCCTCCCGAGAAAATGTCGTCACCAAATTCTCAAGCAGCCAAAAACCAAGAATCATCCTTAGAAAAATACTCCGCAAAGATCAACATTACATCAGAGTCACGTCATAAAGATTTTGGACGGACAACTCCGGAAAAACGTGTCAACTATTACTTCGGACAAGATCCTCGCACAAAACCATGTTTCAGCTCATTGACCAATCTCAAATAAGCTTCGGAAGCACATAGGCCTCAGCCATGTCTTACCAAAATATGCCAATTCCTTTCTTCAATATATCATTCAGAAAAACCAAAATACCAAATACGGCTAAAGAGACAAAGGTTAAAAACCCGGGGCATATTAAAATGCCAGAGGAAACTTTCACCAATTAAGCCGTTTCTCAAACAAAGGGACAACATTAATTTGTTAGCAGCCCCTGGCCACAATATCTCCAAAAACATAAAAACTTAACAGCCCCCCTGCTGCAATAACTCCCGAAACAGAAAATGCAAGCCATCCAGTATTTCGTCTGGATTGCAAGAAACAGAATACAAAACGTATACCGATTGACATCTCCCCTTCAACATATCTCCGACCATGGAACTCAATCCGTCCTACAGCAATACATGCAAGGCACAACTCTCGAATACTAACAACGAGAAAACAAACAAATATCATGAACTTATCTCCGACAGCCGCAGGTAAAACGCGGAATCGGAAACAAACAAGAAATTCTCCTCACTTTCCGCAGGTAAAACGGGGAAAACGTTTACAAACTGAACAAAAACCAAACCCGAACGTCTGCTAGAACGCTGCTTGTACTGCGACGAGGATCATGGCATCACAATCACATTCATCCCCCCCCATGATTTTCGACAGCAGTGCTAGCAGTGGTCCAACGATGTCAACTGAACCATTCGGCGTGCTGAATTCTTAGATTATCCAAACTCAATGCCCAACATATGAAAATCACAATGTAACCAATCATGCGCATCGCAACTCTAAGTCTACGTCGACACAGTTCTCAAACTCATGGTTTTCGACAAACAATTCAAAACCAAACCTAGAAATAACCCAAACCCAACAATTCTCACAAACAAACGTGCCTGAACCGCGCGTAGATCCAGAGCTGCGTCGTTGCAACCATCGGTCATCCCCCACTGGAGCTCCCGATCACGAAGTCTCTTACTTCCTCCTCTGGAGATCCCGATCACGAAGTCTCTCACTTCATGCCGCACACTTCTGCCACGATCGATCCTCCCTTCCTGGCATTACCCCCCATCGTCCCGCACGACGTAGATGCCATTGCTCACGGTCGGATGGGCGCCGGGATGCCTTGCACCGGCGGACAACGCCCCGATGCCGCCGTCACCGCTGCCGTCGCTACTGTTGCCACCTTCGTCGCCATGGCCCAACCAACAGCTATCCTCATCGCACTCGTCCTCCGGCTCTTGCGCTGCTGACGCTTTAGCCGCAATTCCCTGCGTCCCAACCGGCTCCCACACCGCCGCCGCGGGCAAGACTCTGCTGCCGGGGGTCGCCGCTCTCGCCGCCGGTGCTGCCGTCCATGCCGCTGCTCCCGCCGCGAGTGCCTGCGCCCCGGCCGTCTCCCCTGCCGCCGCCGCGGGGAAGACTCTGCTGCCGGGGGTCGCCGCTCTCGCCGCCGGTGCTGCCGTCGATGCCGCTGCTCCCGCCGCGAGCGCCTGCCCCCCGACCGTTCCCCCCGCCACCGTAGTGGGGAAACCACCATCAACGGTCGCCGCTCCTGCCGCAGGTACTGTTCCCCATGCCACCGCGCCAGCTGCAAACACGGGGAGCATCGCCTCCTGTCGATGCCTTTGCCTCCTCCAGCGTCGTCGCTTCCGCTGCTGGTGCGGCATAGCGTCGTTGCCATTCGCGTTGAGACCCTCTCCGTCACCGACGGGCACGTGCTGTTGCATGCGGTCGATTGTGCAACACATGCGGCGCCGATGGCCATACTCACCGCAGGCAGTGCAGTTGCCTTCAAAGCGTCGTGGCGCATTGCAGTCGCCAAGTGAGTGTCCATGCCTCCCGCATCTCACGCACTGATGAACGACACCAATCAGAGCACCCTGCGGCGAAGCTGACTCCTCTTGCGGGTACACAGCGTTGCGCCCACAGTCATAGAGCCCCCCAGATCCCCACGTCGGGAAGTTAGGAGGTGGGTAATGTGCAGGTGGTGGCTGAGGACGAACCCACTGCTGCTGCTCCCGCTGTTGCCGCCACCGCCGTTGTAGTCCCCCCTGACCGTGGCCACCATGACCGGACCCAAGCCCACCAACCGTCACCGCTGCCGCCGGTGCCGCCTGCGCTTTGCCCAATTCCTTCATCATGACCTTGTTGGCGTATGCCGCGCGAACAACGTTTTCCACCTTCGCTCGGGAAATGGTGGGGTCGGCCAGGATGGACTTGCGTTCGATATCGTACTCGTGCGCAAGCTGGCGGACAATGATGTGCACGATAGCCCGCTCAGATTTTTCGATGCCGACAGCTTTCATGATGTTGATCACTCCGTCTACTCTGGCGAAGAAGAGTTTCGGGTCCTCGCCGGGATGCATCTCAATCGTCTCAAGTCGCCTCACAAGCAACGTCTTCTCAGCGTCAAGAGTAGGCAACAGCCATTCGTGGATCACGCTCCACGCCTCAGGGACGCAGTCGCAAGCACCCAACCGTTCTTCAATGTCCGTGCCGCAGGTTGCTTCCAACATGTACCCCCACGCCCGCTGGTGAGCTGCCACCAGATGTGCACCGTGAGTCTGGTTCAGGTATGTGCGATCCAGACAACTGATAACGTTGACATAACCAGTAGATGGCATGTGGTCAAGGGTTCGCTCCAAATCCTCGACAGCCAGGAAATTCCGCATTCTCCGAAGCCAGCTCACGGCCTTCGTCGAATTCGTCGGGATTTTGGGCGGGTTGCGACTGCTGCTGTAACCGCTCAAAGCACAATTTCCGTCATTTTTCATGCTCACCCGTTGTGTACCGAGCCCAGCTCCACCAGCTGCCCCGGCAGTCGTTCTTCCGGCAGCCATTGCTCCTGCCGGTGCATCGTTCTTCTCCCTTAGATGCCCATATTCCATCTCCGTCCAGTACTTCTCCCACATGTTCTTCCTCCGCCTAATTACGCCGCAAAAAAAATGCGGCACGATGTATCTCCTGCTCTTTGTCTTGTAGCTAGACTTGTTCTTGTTCACGTAGCTGGATCTCCTTGGCACGCTTACCGCTGCTGCCCTTGTATTCCAAATGCTGTCCCTGGATCTCCTTGGCGCGCCTGTCGCGGCTGCTCTTGTATTCCAAACTCTGCGGATCTCCTCGGCGACGCGCGCGGGTCCTCCCTGCTTGCTGCTGCTGCCGCCCTTTTCTTCCGGTGCATACCTCTCGAACCTTTCCCAACCGACGTCTGCAGACTCACGATATCGTGTTTGTGGTGTCGGCGCGTGTGCTATGTCATCACGCTCGCGGGCTTTTGTCGAGAGCGTTTGTGCACAAAGGATTGACTCAAGTTCCTTGATTATTAACGAGTGACAAGCATGAGCAGCAGGCAAGAAGGACCTGCTGCTGCACACACGTCTGCATATACCCAAACCTATCATGTCTGCGTACCCCCTCGGATATCTCGGAGATCTGTATCCTGCCGAGTACATACACAAACACGTTCGTAAAGTGAAAATGACGAGATACAAGCGTCTGGCAGAACCGTCGCCACCCACCTCCTTCATGTTTCGCGCTGCGTTCTTGTACTTCTTCCGTTGCCACGGTTCTTCTCTTTCCGCTTCAAGAATGAAAGACTCGGCGGGATCTCTGTCCTCGCCAGTGTCGCCGCTCAAGCCGCCTGAGACCTGCACGCAACGTCACGAAGCAGGGAGAATCACCGATTACGACGAGCAGTTTCCCCCAAGCTTGGTCTTGAATATGTCGGAAGCATGTGTGCAAGCATGTGGTGCTTGCCGGGCTCACCAGCTTGACCGTTGTGCGTAGAGCTTGGGACGCCAGCAGCATCTTCAGGTCACCACCCCACCACCGAGGCTTGCAATACGTGGGACGGAAGCACGTTACATTCTCAACTGGGCGACCGTACGTGCAACGCCCACCCGGTTGGCTGTGAAAGCGTAACCCAACCCCGCGTGGATGACTTCTGGGAAGTTCTTCGAGAAGAATAACAGTATACGCCCTCCTGATACGAGCTCCTCGGTGTTCGCTGCTGCCCCCGCAAGGACCACGAGCTGCAGTTGCGACCAGAACATATCCAACTCCCAAAAGCGCTTCGCTGCGACCAATACATATCCATCCCCCAAGCACTTCGCCCAAGCACGCTATTCCACCACCGTCTACCCACAAGACTACCGATGCCTCCTTGCGCATCTTGTTCGGGATAACCATGGCGGCGCGGCGACCAAAACCTACTTGTCCTAAAGGGGGTTAAGGCCCGTTTTATACATGAAAAATTTTTGTAAAACTTTTGTACAAAATTTGGGTCCAAATATTTGAAACCGACATCTTCATTTTATACGTGCTGCAGCTGGTTTCCAAATTTTCAATATTTTCTCGCCGCTTGCCTGGTGCCAACGAGCACAACACACACATATACTCAACACCTTCGCCGTCAACACCTCCACAATCAAGACACCATGGCAGACAGCACAAAGGGACGGGCTACTGGTCGCCGGATGGCTGCTACCCCAGCCAGATACAGAAAGGAGGGCCATCTTGGCGCCGCTGCCGGCGAGGGTTCGAGCGCGCGCGGAATGCTCCCAGGCATCTCTGGCATTCCGTCGGCGCTACACACCCCTGATCCATCTCCCCCTCCGGCGAGGGCNGCCGCTGCCGGCGAGGGTTCGAGCGCGCGCGGAATGCTCCCAGGCATCTTTGGCATTCCGTCGGCGCTACACACCCCTGATCCATCTCCCCCTCCGGTGAGGGCCGCCACAGGGGCTGGGTCATCAGGTCCTCCGAAGATGGCGGAAA